CGGCGCTGAAGGCGCGCAATAGGAGGTCCCAGGGGGGAGGGGCAAATCCTGTTCGGTGCCTTTTGCGCTCGTCACGTCTGGGCCGGCCCATTTTTCTGTTTCTAAGAAGCAAAAACAGCGTGAGATTTGGGATTCTATCCCGCTACAAGCTGGCTAGTGTAAGTCTCGACAACCACCAGACCACTTCACGTGTTGTGATTACTTACATGTTTTCCTTCTCCTTTCTTTTTTTCTTTTTTCTGTTCTTTCATTCTTTCTTTTTCTAATTCGAGAAACTTTTTTCTTCATGATTTTTTCAATTTGTGATGAACTTTTTCAAATTCAATGAGTTGGCTTGTCAAATTCGGTGAACTGTTTTTCAAATTCGATGAACTTTTTCAAGTTTTGATGAACTTTTTTGAAATTCCATGGATTGTTTTTCAATTTTGATGAACCTTTTTCAAATTCAATTTTTTCCAAATTCGGTGAACTATTTTTCATTTTTGATGATTTTTTTTAAAATTTTGATGAACTTTTTTCAAATTCCATGAACTTTTATTGAAATTTGATGTACTTTTTCCAAAATCAACGAAGTTTTCACAAATTTTATGAACTTTTTTTCAAATTCGATGAATTTTTTTCAAATTTAATGAACTTTTTTCTAAGTTGATGAATTTTTTTTCAAAAATGATGAACTTTTTCCAAATTCGATGAATTTTTTCAAAAATTTTGAATTTTTTGAAAATCGATGAACTTTTACTTTTTGAATTTGTCAATGTTTTTTGAGTACATGAACTTTTTTTCCTAATTCGTGATGTTTTTTAAAGTATGTGGACATTCAAATTTTGTTCAGATTTCTTTTTAAAAGAAATCCTATTTTTCTAAAGAGCGCGACTAAAATATAGTTGTTAGACATTTCGCGTTGCAGTCTTTTTCGAAGGGTTGTATTGGTCTAGTGGTTAGGCAACCATGCGCAGCACCTTAATGGTGCGGGTTCGAATCCTCACGGGAGCTTCATTTGCGTTTGTCTTTTCCTGACATGAATACATTTTTGCACTGCCACCTGCTCTTCATGGGCCGGCCAGTACGCGCCAGTTGCAGCAAACAGGCGCCTCTTCACACAGAGCAAACGCAACTGGGCCGGCCCATTAGAGTAAAACTGTTAGTGATTGGTTGTGCGCAAAAAATCCAAAACAGAAAGAATCCGCAACTTGGATTTCCATCTCCAGACCTCCTGTTGTGGTCGGTACCGCACTAGCCAGCCGAACTGTATACATGGATGTGAAAATCAGTAGCACCAAGTCTAAAGAGCAAAACTGCAGCAACGTAAATGACCATTACTCAATGTTTTAAAAAACACAAAGATTTATTAAATTGAAGCAGCGCAAATTATTAACATTATATTGAATTGCAAACACAATTCGAAAAAATTCCTACTTTTTCCAAAATTTGAGTAATTTTTTGAACTTACATTATTTTTCAAAAATGCAAACAAATTCTATGAAAACAAACGAATTCTGAATTTCCAAATATTTTTCAAAAAAATGAGCATTTTTGGAATTTATGAACAATTTTTTAAAGCACGAACTATTTTTGAATCTTGAGAACAAATTTGGAAGCGTGAACTACTCCCTCCGTCCCATAATGTAACACGTTTTTTGACACTACACTAGTGTCAAAACACATCTTACATTAGGGGACGGAGGGAGTATTTTTTAAAGCACGAACATTTTTTCAATCTTGAGAACAAATTTTGAAATGGAGAACAATTTTAAAAAATCCCGAACAAATTCGGAAGCGTGAACAATTTTTTAAAGTACGAATGGTTTTCGAATCTTGAGAACAAATTTGGAAACACAAACATTTTTTGAATCTTGAGAACAAATTTTGAAATGGAGAACAATTTTGAAAAATCCCTAACAAATTTGGAAGCGCGAACAATTTTTTAAAGTACGAACATTTTTTGAATCTTGGGAAAATTTTTTGAAACGGAGAACAATTTCAAAATCACGAACAAATTTTGAAGCGCGGACATTTTTTGAATATGTGAACAAAAAATTGAAATCCGGTATAATTTCTAAATTTCGGAAGGTGTAATGAGAACATATTTTGGAAACACGAACAAAATTTAAAATTGTCGATTTTTAAAAAAAAGATAAGAAAAGAAAAAAATTATATACAAAATAATAAACATAAAAGAAAAGAAAAAATAAAAAGGAAGAGAAAAAGACACAGAAAAACCCCGAAAAGCCAGTAGAAGAAAATAAACAGAAAAACCCAATTCTGGAAACCATCTAGAAGGTTCCCAAAACCGGTTGCTCCCACTGTGGTCGCGATCTTAGTGGGCCGGCTTAGATCCACCGGTCGAGTCGTTGGCCTGTGCGGTGGGTCGACATTTCAACGCAACGAGCGGCGAATAGTAAATACCCTGTTGGGGGGGGGGGGGCGAGTGGAGATGCTCTTAGTTGCTCCTAGCGTGTGCGCCGGTTGGTCCGGTAAGCTATGCGATGTTCAACCTAATACTGGCCCAGCCCAGCCCCAGTCTACATCAACAACAAGAATAGTATGCTGGAGAATTAAATGGGACTCTCTTGGATTCATTTGCACCGACGCGTGGGCTTCGGCAAGGTGACCCTCTATCACCATTCTTATTCCTTCTTGTTGCGGATGGCTTGTCAGCAATTTTAAAGAATAAAGTGACCTTGGGTGAGATTACTCCTGTCAAAGTCTGTAGAAGGGCTCCGGGTATTTCCCATTTGCTATCTGCTGATGATACACTATTATTCTTTGAGGCCTCTAGTGCCCAAGCGGAGAGTGTGAAGACTGCCCTAGAGTTGTATGGATCTGCCACTGGCCAAAGCTTGAACTATAGTAAATGTTCTATATTTTTTGGTGCTGCTTGCCCGGCGACAACACAGGAGCAAGTAAGAGATGTGTTGGGAGTTACAAGCTTGGTGTTTGAGGAAAAATACCTGGGCCTGCCTACTCCTGAAGGGAGAATGTCTAAAGGACGTTTTCAAAACCTCCAAACTAGTCTCACAAAACGTTTGATTCAGTGGGGAGATGGGCTCCTAGCACAGCCAGGTAGGGAGGTGTTGATTAAGTCAGTTGTGCAGGCTTTACCAACTTATATTATGGGTGTATTCAAACTGTCTTTCTCGGTTTGTGATGATTTAACACGGATAGTGAGGAACTTTTATTGGGGATCTAGGAAGGGTAAAAGGAAGGTCCATTGGAGAGGCTGGGATTACCTAATGCAGCCGAAAGATAAAGGGGGTGCATGATTTCGAGACTTTCATTTGTTCAATCAAGCATTGTTGCCTCGCCAAGCTTGGCGTTTGTTGTCTAAGCCGGACAGTTTATGTGCCCAACTTCTGAAAGCTCGATATTATCCTCATGGTAACCTTGTAGATACGGTGTTTTCAGGAAACGCTTCTTCCTCGTGGCAAGCTATAAGTCACGGCCTTGACCTTTTGAAGAAAGGTCTATTATGGAGGGTTGGGAATGGTTGAAGATAAGGGCATCGCCGAGACTGGCGGAAGATATCATTGCATGGGGTTCGGGGAAGATGGGAGTTTTTACTGTGAAGTCTGCTTATGCACTGGCTTTTGACGAGGCTCACAGGGGGTCCTCGGAGGCGTCTAGTATTTCACCTGACGGAAGCAGGAAATGTTGGCAGTACATATGGAGTTGCAGCATTCCACCAACTATGCGTAATTTTGCTTGGAGACTGTCGAATGACTCACTTCCGACATGGAAAAACAAGCACAAGATTGGCCTCGAAACGTCTAGCAGCTGTCAAGTTTGTGGAATGGAGGAGTAGGACAATTTCCATCCATTTGTGAGTGCCAGTTTGGGCGAGATTTGTACTTGGCCATGGCTGAATTGTGGTCTGTACCATCACTTGAATCGTTGAAACCCATTGGGAAGGAATGGCTAACTGCAGGTCCTAGCTCCTCTAACTGATATTCAGAGAAGTATGGTGATGCTAATATTTTGGAGAAGCTGGTATGTCCGGAACGAAATTACTCACTTCAAACCTGCCCCACCTATGGTTGTCTCGGTGCTGTTCTTACAGGAATATATGGATATTTTGTTCTGCATCAAAATAAACCCCCATATGGACCTGGCAAAGGGAAAGCACAACATTAATTTTGAACAAACAGCCTTACCACAAGTGCAAGCCCCTGTTACTGAAACTTCATGGAAACCGCCTCAACATGGTTGGGTCAAGCTTAATACGGATGGTTCTTACTCATCGGAAGGTGGCGCGGGAGCTGGGATGATATTGCGGAATGTTGATGGCACTATTGTCTTCTAAGCATGCAGGGCTTTGTTCTCGTGTAGAGACGCACTAGAAGCGGAGTTATGTGCTTGCATGGAAGGGTTGTCTTTTGCAATTCAACGATATGATCTTCCCATTGAAATCGAGATGGATTCGAGGGTGGCGGTGGAGATGCTATCCAGTGGTGTGATGGACCGTTCAGTTTATGCTTCTTTAGTTGGTGAAATTAAATTTCTGTTAAACCTTAGGCACTCTTGTATTACTCATGTCCCTCGCTGTCAGAATAAAGCGAGTGATAGGCTTGCCAGCTTTGCTAGATTAGAAGGTCGGACCATGACATGGGTTGGGTCAGGACCTGAGGATGTTGTGAAGATTGTCCTAGAGGATTGTAAGGACTTGATAATTGAGTAATACAAGTTTTGTTTACCCGCAAAAAAAAGTATGCTGGAGAATAGTCTCTGCACAGGAACACATGGGAAGAAGATTGAACAGCTGCGGAAAGAAATAGCAGCCTGAATGCACCAAGAGTCCAACCATGTGATCTCCGGTCCAAGTTGATCAATTGCTATTTTATGAATCCCTGTGCTTGCTGTGAATTTTCTCTTGCACCTACAGTACTCTATATAAATCAGCCCCCTTGCTTGCTCTCACTCGTCACTCTTCAATAGTAGTTTGAAACAACTTACCAGCAGCGCTAGTGTGCAGCGAGCCAGTGACCGACACGGACAAGAACAAGATGGTCGCCGGCTGTGTCATCACCGACGAGTGCGCCCTGGCGGTGTCGACGGAGCGGATGTGGAAGGTGGTCTTCTCCGGCGAGGACACGGCCGCCCTGCCCAAGGCCTGCGCGGGCTTCATCGACGCCGTGGACGTCGAGGGCGACGGCGGACCCGGCAGCGTCTCCACCATGACGCTCAGCCCGGCGGCAGCGGAGCTCGCGGGCTCGGGCCTGATGAGGACCCGCCTGGTGGCGCGCGACAACGCGGCCCGCGTGATCAAGACGGAGGTGCTGGAGGGCAGCAAGGTGAGCGGCCAGCTCAAGTCGCAGGTGGCCGAGGTGAAGCTCGAGGCGGCCGGGGAGGGTGCTTGCGTGGCGAAGCTCAGGGTGGAGTACGAGAGGCTCGACGGCAGCGGGGCGCTGTCGGCGGAGGACCAGGCGGCGCTCGTCGCGGGGTACCTCGACCTGCTCAAGATGGTCGAGGCTTACCTCGTCGCGCACCCTGCCGAGTACGCCTCACTAAACCAGCACTAGAAACATCAGAAATAAATTAATCTGCCCTTATAAGACAGAAGAATAAATCTACTGTCACGGTGAGTGCATGTCTCTATTTTGATGAAATCATATGTGAAAGATAAATCTACCATTACGGCGAGTATATACCGGTGTTGTCTGCTTCATGATCGACTTCGTGAGAAGAAAGGAGGGTCTTTAGTATAAACTGTTTGAGGTACTATATGAGTGTTTAGTCCCTGTTTTAAGCTCGTATTTCGTGTGTAAGCTATGTTGCGCGGATACTTCAGAAAGCGCACGTATCCAGCTCGATACTGCCCCAATACTCGGATACTGCCCCGATACAGCCCGATACGTATCCCGTAAGTATCCCTTGATTTTTTGATTTTTAAAAAAGAAAATAATGTTTGATACTCCTAGGATACTTCTGCGATACTTTTTGGATACCTGAAACCCCTCGTTTGACGTGAAATCCCCTCAATAGTAAAGGCATACCTTTTGAAGATACCCAACATGGGTGTGAGTTTATGCCAAACCATTATTGTCAATATTCTTGTTCAATTGAGAGGTGACCAAGAGAGAGTAGATGCACTGATTGGAATAACAAACCCGGAAAACTCCCATTGCTAATTAATGAAAGTGGACCAAGCGCAAGAAAACAAAGGGAATAATAATCCTATTGAGGCATGCTTTGACCTAGAAGCTCTATTTTATTTTCAATATTTTTAATAATTAATATATGTAATATCTATATATAAATGTATCGTTGTATCCATGTTTTCAGAAAATTGGCGTATCGGGCGTATCCTCGTATCGTGTATCCGATACGTATCCAAGTATACGTGCAACATAGCGTGTAAGTTGCTTCAAGCATTAATGAAGATAAATATTTGAGCAGTCTGGTTTTATTTTTCGGCAAAGGGGGTTCTTTATTAACTCATGAGTGTAGAACTGCACACACAACAATGAGCAGTGCTACTACCTCCGTCTAGGTGAATAAGTCATTCGCGTAGTTCTAGGTCATCGATTTGAGGAATTAAATATGTGTTATATGTGTTGGGGAACGTAGCAGAAATTCAAAATTTTCCTACGTGTCACCAAGATCTATCTATGGAGAAACCAGCAACGAGGGGAAGGAGAGTGCATCTACATACCCTTGTAGATCGCTAAGCGGAAGCTTTCATGAGAACGGGGTTGAAGAAGTCGTACTCGTCGTGATTCAAATCACCGGAGATCCTAGTGCCGAACGGACGGCACCTCCGCGTTCAACACACGTACAGCCCGATGACGTCTCCCACGCCTTGATCCAGCAAGGAGGGAGGGAGAGGTTCAGGAAGACTCCGTCCAGCAGCAGCACAATGGTGTGGTGGTGGTGGAGGAGCGTGGCAATCATGCAGAGCTTCGCCAAGCACCGCGGGAGAGGAGAAGGGAGAGAGGTAGGGCTGCGCCAGGGAGAGGTCAAAACTCATGTGTTGGCAGCCCCAAAACCCTCAAGTATATATAGGGGAGAGGGAAGGGGGTGCGTGTTGGGTTATGTAGTAATTTCAAAAAAATTCCTACGCACACGCAAGATCATGTGATGCATAGCAACGAGGGGGAGAGTATTGTCTACGTACCCAACGCAGACCGACTGCGGAAGCGTTGACACGACGTAGAGGAAGTAGTCGTACGTCTTCACGATCCAACCGATCAAGCACCGAAACTACGGCACCTCCGAGTTCGAGCACACGTTCAGCTCGATGACGATCCCCGGACTCCGATCCAGCAAAGTGTCGGGGAAGAGTTCCGTCAGCACGACGGCGTGGTGACGATCTTGATGAACTACAGCAGCAGGGCTTCGCCTAAACTCCGCTACAGTATTATCGAGGAATATGGTGGCAGGGGGCACCGCACACGGCTAAGGAACAGATCACGTGGATCAACTTGTGTCAACTTATCTGTTTTGGGGTGCCTCTACCTCAGTATATAAAGGAGCCAAGGGGGGAGGAGGCGCCGGCCAGGGAGGGAGGCGCAGGAGGAGTCCTACTCCTACCGGGAGTAGGACTCCCCCCCAATCCTATTCCAACTAGGATTCTCAAGGGGGAAAGAGGGAGAGGGGTGGCCGGCCACCTCTCCTAGTCCTAATAGGACTAGGGGAAGGGGGGAGGCGCGCAGCCCCCTTGGGCTGCCCCTTTCCCCTTTCCACTAAGGCCCATGAAGGCCCATATGGCTCCCGGGGGGTTCCGGTAACCTCCCGGTAACCCGGTAAAATCCCGATTTCACCCGGAACACTTCCGATGTCCAAACATAGGCTTCCAATATATCAATCTTTATGTCTCGACCATTTCGAGACTCCTCGTCATCTCCGTGATCACATCCGGGACTCCGAACAACCTTCGGTACATCAAAATGCATAAACTCATAATATAACTGTCATCGTAACCTTAAGCGTGCGGACCCTACGGGTTCGAGAACAATGTAGACATGACCGAGACACGTCTCTGGTCAATAACCAATAGCGGGACCTGGATGCCCATATTGGCTCCTACATATTCTACGAAGATCTTTATCGGTCAGACCGCATAACAACATACGTTGTTCCCTTTGTCATCGGTATGTTACTTGCCCGAGATTCGATCGTCGGTATCCAATACCTAGTTCAATCTCGTTATCGGCAAGTCTCTTTACTCGTTCCGTAATACATCATCTCACAACTAACATATTAGTTGTAATGCTTGCAAGGCTTATGTGATGTGTATTACCAAGAGGGCCCAGAGACACCTCTCCGACAATCGGAGTGACAAATCCTAATCTCGAAATACGCCAACCCAACATCGACCATTGGAGACACCTGTAGTACTCCTTTATAATCACCCAGTTACGTTGTGACGTTTGGTAGTACCCAAAGTGTTCCTCCGGTAAACGGGAGTTGCATAATCTCATAGTCATAGGAACATGTATAAGTCATGAAGAAAGCAATAGCAACATACTAAACGATCGGGTGCTAAGCTAATGGAATGGGTCATGTCAATCAGATCATTCTACTAATGATGTGACCTCGTTAATCAAATAACAACTCATTGTTCATGGTTAGGAAACATAACCATCTTTGATTAACGAGCTAGTCAAGTAGAGGCATACTAGTGACACTTTGTTTGTCTATGTATTCACACATGTATTATGTTTCCGGTAAATACACTTCTAGCATGAATAATAAACATTTATCATGATTATAAGGAAATAAATAATAACTTTATTATTGCCTCTAGGGCATATTTCCTTCAGTCTCCCACTTGCACTAGAGTCAATAATCTAGTTCACATCGCCATGTGATTTAACAGCAATAGTTCATATCACCATGTGATTAACACCCATAGTTCACATCGATATGTGATCAACACCCAAAAGGGTTTACTAGAGTCAATAATCTAGTTCACATCATTTATGTGATTAACACCCAAAGAGTACTAAGGTGTGATCATGTTTTGCTTGTGAGATAATTTAGTCAACGGGTCTGTCACATTCAGATCCGTAAGTATTTTGCGAATTTCTATGTCAACAATGCTCTGCACGGAGCTACTCTAGCTTATTGCTCCCACTTTCAATATGTATCTAGATCAAGACTTAGAGTCATCCAGATCTGTGTCAAAACTTGCATCGACGTAACCTTTTTACGACGAACCTTTTGTCACCTCCATAATCGAGAAATATTTCCTTATTTCACTAAGGATAATTTTGACCAATGTCCAGTGATCTACTCCTAGATCACTATTGTACTCCCTTGCCAAACTTAGTGGTAGGGCATATAATAGATCTGGTATACAGCATGGCATACTTTATAGAACCTATGACTGAGGCATAGGGAATGACTTTTATTCTCTTTCTATTTTCTGCCGTGGTCAGGCTTTGAGTCTTACTCAACTTCACACATTGTAATACAGGCAAGAACTCTTTCTTTGACTGCTTCATTTTGAACTACTTCAAAATCTTGTCAAGGTATGTACTCATTGAAAAATTTATCAAGCGTCTTGATCTATCCCTATAGATCTTGAAGCTCAATATGTAAGCAGCTTGACCGAAGTCTTTCTATGAAAAACTCCTTTCAAACACTCCTTTTATGCTTTACAGAATAATTCTACATTATTTCCGATCAACAATATGTCATTCACATATACTTATCAGAAATGTTGTAGTGCTCCCACTCACTTTCTTGTAAATACAGGCTTCACCGCAAGTCTATATAAAACTTATATGCTTTGATCAACTTATCAAAGCGTATATTCCAACTCCGAGATGCTTGCACCAGTCCATAGATGGATCGCTGGAGCTTGCATATTTTGTTAGCACCTTTAGGATTGTCAAAACCTTCTGGTTGTATCATATACAACTCTTCTTTAATAAATCCATTAAGGAATGCAGTTTTGTCTATCCATTTGCCGGATTTCATAAAATACGGCAATTGCTAACATGATTCGGACAGACTTAAGCATCGCTACGGGTGAGAAGGTCTCATCGTAGTCAATCCCTTGAACTTGCCGAAAACCTTTTGCGACAAGTCGAGCTTTGTAGACAGTAACATTACCATCAGCGTCAGTCTTCTTCTTAAAGATCCATTTATTCTCAATTGCTTGCCGATCATCGGGCAAGTCAACCAAACTCCATACTTTGTTCTCATACATGGATCCCATTTCAGATTTCATGGCTTCAAGCCACTTTGCGGAATCTGGGCTCACCATCGCTTCTTCATAGTTCGTAGGTTCATCATGATCTAGTAGCATGACTTCCAGAACAGGATTACCGTACCACTCTGGTGTGGATCTTACTCTGGTTGATCTACGAGGTTTAGTAGTATCTTGATCTGAAGTTTCATGATCATTATCATTGGCTTCCTCACTAACTGGTGTAGGTGTCACTGAAACAGTTTTCTGTGATGAACTACTTTCCAGTAAGGGAGCAGGTACAGTTACCTCATCAAGTTCTACTTTCCTTCCACTCACTTCTTTCGAGAGAAACTCCTTCTCCAGAAAGGATCCATTTTTAGC